AAGTGATCAGCGCGGCCAGAAGGCGGGTCGCACTGAAAGGACGAGAAGTGGTTGCGGGACAAGGCAGCACCTTGTTCGGTCGTGTCCGCTGTTGGTCTACTCGACGTGAACTGAACAGCGGCGGATACCACTGTATGAACTGCTCGTCGAACATTATTATCTCTGGGTGGTTGGTCGTTGTACCCAGGGACATGCATCGGCTGTCCCTAGGACTCAGCGGGCGAGCCAGAGCTATACAGAGCGTCAGTGTCAATATAATTGAAGGTTAGGCAAGCAGAACTCACCCTGTTTCTGAAGGAAAGTTATCAGAAAGCTCGCGTCGCCGCGACGTCCATGGTGCTCAGGCCGGCGAGCGGGAAAGAGCTGACCTCGCGCGTCGCCACTGCCATCGTCGCCTCCGTGGCTACCGCGGAGGCCGTGTTTCTGGGCGACGAAATCATCACGAGCCGTCGCGCGGCCGCGCTCGGCGTCGACCAACTCTGCACCCACCTGATCTTGCTCTCCCGCGCGCTTGGTGTAGACGTCGTTCATGGCGTTGAACGCCGTCTGTGCGATCTCGAGGAGCGATGGAGGTGCCGTACGTACGAGGCGGCGGTATATTGCGAGCCAGGAATCGAGCTCTTCGACTGAGTCATCCAGGTCGTCGAAAATTTCGGTTGCGGGCATTATGGCCGGCGAGATGTGGGATGTGGCGGGGGAGTTGTTCGAAGGCACTGTGTTTTAATTGCGAGGTGGTTGCTTGTACGTGACGCGTCGATGTCGTGGACGCAATATGAATATTGTTCGAGGAGCGCGTTTGGTTAAGGTCGCGTCGCGGCCGCCGTGGGAAAACTCGATCCAACGTCTGTCCGCTCTCCTTCCCTAATTAGGCAATCACCAACTTCGACCCAGTAAGCCACCGGTCTCACCTGTATATCCTGCGGCCACGAATCACTTTTTGTTAGGCCGCTCACGCAATTTATAGCTGCAGGCTGCTCCCGCGAGTTTTCCATCCAGCTTTCCTGACCCAGCATTCATCTCACACCCGCACAATGTCTTCCACAGATAACCCCCCGTCTATAACCTGCGATCCCCCAAAGACTCCTACTCAGCCAACTCAGGCTAGTGGTACTCTTAAATATCGTGTTTCTGTACTTCGTGCGCCCAACATGGCAGACCGTAGAAGCACCTCCACCGACGTTTATGCAAGCGGGAGCACTGGCACTGGCAGCGCGGCAGGTTCCACGCCACTGAAGACCAGCACCTTGAACAGAGAGAGCTCAACACACAAGCACGGCAACCACACCACTCTTGTTCTGTCCAACGCAACAGCGGAAGATTCGTCGACCTGCACGCCCGGTACTTCGCTTGTGGTTAAAGTCTCCCAGTAAGTGCACACCCATCTCAAGGAACAGGATATGCTGAATGCCGCTCGTGCCGCCGGAGTTAGAAATTTACCCAATCTCCATCTTGCGGGGACCTGTGGCCGCTGAGCGAAGGCTCCCGCGGAATTTTCTGCGAGGAAGAGCTGACGAACTACGAGAGGCGCGTCCTACGCGCGCTCGTTTACACCATGTATGAGCCTCTGGGGGTGCTCTTTTCGCATTCGTCGAGATATCTTGGCGAGATGATCTATCAGATGCTGAACTGTGAGTTAATCTTCTGCATATCATCGTCATTGTCGACTCTCACATCGAGCTTCCCGCTAGGCCTCCATGATCTGCGCTACAGAGCGCTGATACTGCATCGAGATGTCAGCTTCAACAATATCATGGTGCTCAGAGACGAGCCGGACGGTAAGCCGCTGTTCATCCTCAATGACTTCAACCTCGCCACTCGCGCGACGGTAGACGGAAAGCTCGAGGGGGGCCCGATATCGAAGCATCGCACCGGAATGCTCCCATTTATGTCGTATGAGCTCCTGCACGACATGTGGTCGACCTATGAAGCTGTGTGAAAATCGTTCGGAGACGTTCCCTTGATGCCCGCGCGCCATCACCTGCGATTTGACTACGAATTGCTCCTGTATGTTGCCCTATGGTGCGCATTCAAGTGTGAGAAGCCGCGGTCCACCGAAGTTGAGAATGCGGTCAACGCCCAGGTGGAGCAGTGGGAGTGCGGGACATACAGCGACCTGTTCTCGCGTAAACATGCGTTGCTGACGAGCATCACGGGCCCGAATTCTATCAGAGAGATGCCGCTCTCCCCGCTCTTCGAACCATGGCTCCCATTCTTTGAGGCGTGGACGGGCACCGTCTGTCAGCAACTAACAATCCAACTGGACTGAGCTACGACAATGCTGAGGAGACAGACGAGAGGAATGTGAGTGAGGAAAGACCAGCTCGAGTCTGGCTTGTTATTGAGCAGTACAAGCTCCTTATATACATGTCAGACTGAATATCTAGAATATCCTACGAATATACGGAGGTGTATAGAAAGTAAGAGAATACCATGGAATCCGGGAGAACCATCCGGATTGTGTAATATTCATGACATTACCCTCCCGTCTAGAATCGTGTCCTCACGATTATTTACCCGTCGATCCAAAACCTCCTGATCCTTGTTGAGTCTCTATTAAACTGGACACCTCCTCGATATCGCATGACGCAATGCGTTCCAAAATGACTTGTGCGATTCGATCGCCGGCGTGTACCTGGAATGATTGATTGGTGGAGTTGATCAACACTACATGCACTTCTCCGGTGTAATCTTGGTCTATCACCCCAGCGCCGACATCTATTCCTTTGACTGCTAACCCACTTCGTGGTGCAATTCGTGCATAAGTTCCGTGAGGGGCACGCATTGCTATGCCGGTGCCAACAATCTTGCGATCCCGTGCCGGTATCTTAACGCTTTCAGCCGAGTAGAGATCAAGCCCAGCCGACTCTTCAGATCCTGCTTCGGGAGAATCCCACCCATCC